GGCAGCCTTCTCTGTCCCAGCTACTGGGGCTGAGTCCTCACAGGGGGTACGCTCGGGTTGTTGCTCGGGGTTGGGATGCTCTAGAATGTCTTACCGACGTGTGAGCCAGAGCAGATTTGAGGCAGACTAGTGGGCTGCCCTCACCACTCGGTCTGAGTGGCCCTTTGCAGGTCCTGACAGACAGCGGGCTCTTCCTCTCCTGGGGTCAGCCTGCCAGTGTGGAGCTGTGGAGCCCCCACTTGCCTAGCCCTTCAGGAAACAGGGCATCCAACACACTGGTTATTTTCCACAGTGGCGACTGCGGGCCCATTGGGATTTCTGTCCCACGGCCTCTGCGTGGGTCACTCTGGGCAGGCAGGGCTGGGCAGGCAGGGCTGTGAGGAGAGACCAGGGAGCTGTGGGCACTGGTGCCAGGCTTCTGGAGAGGCCAGGCTTCTGGAGAGGAATGGCCCTCGTGAGAGCCCGGCCTGGTTCAGCCACGTTTGGTGCCTTGCGTGGTGCTCTGTCCTCTGGCCACGCCCAGGCCTGCTGGGTGGGGGCATGCGCTGAGGGCCGGTGCCCCGCAGAGCCCGCACATGGCCATGGTCGACGCCCTGATGACGGCCTACATGGTGGAGATGGTCAGCATCGAGAAGGTGGTGGCCAGCGTCAAGCGCTTCTCCACCTTCAGCGCCTCCAAGGAGCTGCCCTACGACCTTGAGGACGCCATGGTCTTCTGGATCAACAAGGTCAGTGTGGGCACGGGGAAGAAGGTGACATCCCCATCTGCCGTGGTGCCCGGGGCTGGGCCCCTGCTCTCAGTTGGCGTGCTTAACTGCTGCGCCACCAGGGGTTTTCCTGTGGGCCTTTCTCACCAGAGCCCTTGGCAGCCAGGTCTGTGCTTGCAGCAGTGAGCTCACCTAGGGCTTGAATGGAGCAGAAAGAGACACCACACCAGGTAGCTTCTTCGGCCTCTCGGCCTGTGCCACTCGCCCACCCAGGGGAGGGGAGGGGAGGGGAGGGGCGCTGGGCTGTCCGCCGGGCTGGCCACTGAGCGGCCGCTGTGAAAAGCTTCTGTCCCTGCACACAGCCCTGTGGGGTCAGGGCGGCCGGCCGCTGGGAAACCTCCTCAGACGGGGACAAGGGCTGCCCTGGATTGAAAGACCCCCTGGGCACTGCACTCTTGGGGAGTGGGAGGCGGTGGGCATGCTGCAGCCGCCTGGCCGTGTCCTTTCTGAAGTAGGTCACCGTCGTCGGGGCAGCCTCTGGGTGGTCTTGAACGGCCCACTTTCTGGGCAGCAGCTGAGCATTGGGCACCATTCGTGGACACCCTTCCCTTGCCCACTGCTCCCTCTGCAGGATCCCAGGTGGGGCGAGTGCCCTACTGTCTGGGAGCGTTTGGTTCAGAACATGGTGCTTCAGACCGGCCTGTGTGAGTGGGGCTGGGCCTGAGCAGTGCCTCTAGTCAAAGCGGGAGTTTCCGGGGTCAAAAATTCCCACTTTGCCTCCTCTTTTTGGCAGCTTTTCCTCATTTGTATGAATGGACATGGCCCTTGTAGGACATTCAGACCCTGGACGGGCTGAGAAACTCCTTCACCTTCAGCGGGTCTGTGTGGGACGGGCTCTTGGATGCTGTAGGGCCTGTAGCTTTCACGTCGGTCGGTTGGCACGTCGAGTCTGCTCGGACCCACAGTGACCACACATACAGCTGCCCGGCCCGCCACCCGCGCCCCCACTCCTCCCCACGTGAGCCCACGGTGCCGCCGCTGGGTCTGTGTTAGGAGAAGACGAACAAACACAGCAGCACGGGGCCCTTGAGCCAGGGTCGACCCAGCAGCCCTGGGAATCTGAATGCGGCAGACAGCTCATGCTTCTCTGTCGGGGCGCTGGTGGGTGTGCTCTGCTGACCTTCCAGAGCAGCCCCCTGTGTCACCAGGGCTCCTGGCCTATCGTGCGTGGCCTGGAGTGGAGTTGGGAGCTCACCTTGTGTTGTGTCATCTTGAGCTTATCTTTGCATTAAGTAAGACATGCGAGGACTTTTTAAAGTCCATGGAAATGGAAGGACAAGTTAAAAATGAAAAAGACAACCTATATTCTCAATGTGAGCGCCCTCAAGGGCTAGACCCTTTTGTAAGTGAGGAGGGCAGCCATTGAGCTGTCGTCACCCCCCAGTGCAGGGCCCTGGGCCTCCGTCTACT